TCTTCTCTGCTATTTCTAAGGCCTCATTGGACAGCCACTTTCCTTTCTTGCATTTCATTTTTTTTGGGGGGGGATGGTTTTTGTTGCTGCCTCCTGTACAATGTTATGAGCCTCTATCCAAAGTTCTTCATGCACTCTGTCCACCAAATCTAGTTCCTTAAATTTGTTCTTCACTTCCACTGTGTATTCATAATTGATTTGGTTTAGATTATACCTGAGTAGCCCAGTGGCTTTTCCTACTCTCTTCAGTTTAAGCTTGAATTTTGCTATAAGAAGCTGATGATCAGAGCCACAGTCAGCTCCAGGTCTTGTTTTTGCTGACTGTATAGAGCTTCTCCATCTTTGGCTGCAGAGAATATAATCAATCTGATTTCGATATTGCCCATCTGGTGATTTCCATGTATAGAGTCCCCTCTTGTGTTGTTGGAAAAGAGTGTTTGTGATGACCAGCTTGTTCTCTTGACAAAATTCTATTAGCCTTTGCCCTGCTTCGTTTTGAACTTCAAGGCCAAACTTCCCTGTTGTTCCTTTTATCTCTTGACTCCCTACTTTAGCATTCCAGTCCCCTAGAATGAGAAGAACATCTTTCTTTGGTGTCAGTTCTAGAAGGTGTTGTAAATCTTCATAAAATTGTTCAATTTCAGTCTCCTCAGCAATGGTGGTTGGTGCATAAACTTTTTTTGAGGGAAGTCCAAGAATATTTCTGATAAAATTGTTCCGTAAGATCTCAAGAGTTATTTGGCTAATTTAGCTTGTTTGCCCTAGATTTTTGCCTCATACCATACATGTGTTACACGTTTAGCTTTAAAGATGTGAAACGTCATGCGCATGAGCGCAGGGGGTGCCCCGTCTTCCCCAACCGGTCCATGGGGTTTAAAAGGTTGGGGACCACAAATATATACTGTGGCTGATTAACAGTCTTCCGAGCCCTGTTCTGTTAAGAGATGAAAGAACCAGACCATCACCATAAAATAAAGCTGTGACCTTACAAGCACCCACTGAAGGAGCAAAAAAGGGGAAGCTTAACCTTATGTCGTTAAGACAAAAATTGAAAAAAAAATGGAGCTACAAGGCAACACTGTTTAAGTGGTTTGGGGGAATTAGTCCAAAAAAGGAACTCTTTTGAGCACTGGCTTTCGGAAGGTATTCCAAAGACGTTCCATAAGTGGCACTGACGGCGCCTCTCTGAGACAGGAAGATAGGCTAATAGAGAGATGAGTAACATGGTGGAAAGAGAGAGTGACAGAGCTGGTGTGATGTGACGGACAGAGAGACAGGTGGAATGGGGCTGCAAGGAGGAGGGAGTGTACCAAAGCTTGTTGCGTTTCATCACATAATGGCAAACCATTAGTCTAATACAGTGGTGCCCTGCTAGACGCTTACCCCGCATGACATCAAAATCGCTTTACGATGAGTTTTTTGCAATTGCTATTGCGATCACAAAACGATGGTTACAGTAGGGTTTTTTCGCTTGACGTTGATTAGGAGCCTGCTTCGCAAACCGTTTGTTCGCTAAATGATGATTTTTCCGGCTCCACAAAATGGCTTCCCTTTGTAAAATGGCTTCCCTCCCTTCACAAAATGGCTGTTTTCCAGACCCCTGCTTCAGAAGGCAGCGATTTTAAACAACTGATCAGCGGTTCTCTATGGGCGATCTTCACTGGATGATGAGGTATTTCCCCCTTGGAACGCATTGACCGGTTTTCAATGCATCCCAATGGGTTTTTTTCCGCTTGACGACGATTTCACTTAACAGCAATTTTGCTGGAACGCATTATCGTCGTCAAGCGGGGCACCACTGTATTACAGTTAAACTAGATCTCCTAAATACTTGTATCATTGCAACTTAGCCATCCATGTACCTTTTGCAAACGGATGGTTTTGGCATTATAGTTTGATTTGGTAGTTTGGAAAAAAGGGCTAGAATCCTATTGATTAATGTTTTTACTGCCTCATTGCAAACCCGTTACGTTTTGAGCCAGGTGAGACATTCAAGGACTTGTTTCTCATTGCCTCTGCCCAGTGTGGGTTTGTGCCTGAGCAGGGATTTGAGCCTAGCCCTGTTGAATCGTAATCTGACACACTGTCTACTGTACCACTCTGGCCCTTGCTATTAACTGGTTAGCCATGTGTATTTGTGCACATCAAAGGATACAAACTGCAACTTGTTAACCAGTAGCAGTCTGCCACGGCAGCATAATGAATTAGTGGATTTTTACCAAGTGCCTACTTTGGACCCTTTTGTTCTCATGTAATATGTTCTGAAAATGGGATTATTAGCTCTTCAAAACTGTTGGTGAGTTTACCTTGTCAGTTAAATTGAAGCAGGGACAGGTATTTGTCACACGGTCTGTGAGCATGAGTTTTGGGAACAGCTGCAATGCAAGGTATGGAGCCTTAGGTAAAAACAAGTGCATTGAAGAGTCCTCTTAACCTCATTTTTGGAGCCCCTCATTCCGTGACTTGGCAGATGTCTTTGTCTTGATGCTGTTAATGCCCTTGAAAAGGTTTTGTAAAATATTGCTCCTCCTTTATTGCTTATGAATGAGAACACTCATTACAGCCATATAAGAGCCATACTGGCCAGAATCATATTGGATGTGTATAGAAGAAATACTAGAAATTTCTGTGCTTAATAGAGATGCTGATATCATGTTGTCCACATGCCCGGTCAAGCATCTGTTCACACACTTAGCACAACTAGTACCTCAACAAATTGCTGTAGCAACTTCCACTATTCGTCTTGTGCACATATAAATATCCAGTAGGATTTTGTCTATTGCACTTACTATATATATGCAGCACAAAGTACTTACATACAAAATTGGTTTGATGATGATGATGATGATGAATGCTGTCAAGTTGATTGTTACTTATGGTGAATGTGTCCAGTATTTTCTAGTCTAGTCATGAGTGATTTATCATTGATATAATACTGCATGTCATTAAATTTGTTATATCAGATATTTAGCACTTGCTTTTAAATAAGAACATAAGAGCCCTGCTAGATCAGGTCAAGGGCCCATCTAGTCCAGCTTCCTGTATCTCACAGGGGCCCCACCAGATGCCTCTGAGTGCACACAAGACAACTAGATACAGTACCTCTCTCCTGATACCCCTCCCCTGCATCTGGCATTCGGAGGTACCTTCCTTTGAAGCCTGGAGATTATACATCCCTGTCATGATTCGTAATCTGCAATGGACTTTTCCTCCAGAAAGCTGTCCAATCCCCCTTTAAATGCATCTAGGCCAGATGCCATCACCACATCCTGTGGCAAAGAGTTCCACAGACTAACAACACGCTGAGTCAAGAAATTTTTTCTTTGCTCTGTTCTCACTCTCCCAACACTCAATTCGAGTGGATGTCCCCTGGTCCTAGTATTGTGTGAGAGGGAAAAGAGCTACACTTTATCCACCCCCTGCATGATTTTAGACCTCTCAATCATGTCCCCCCTCAGGTGCCTTTTCTCCAGACTAAAGAGCTACAAACGCTGTAGCCTTTCCTCATAAGGGAGGTGCCCCAGCCCAGTCATCGTCTGAGTCACTCTTCTGCACCTTTTCCAGTTCTACAATGTCTTTTTTGAGGTGCGGCGACCAGAACTGTATGCAATACTCCACGTTCAGCCTTTTAATGTGGATGGTATATTATCTTGGGTCTTCAATTTTTGTAAACAAATTCTCTAGGCATTAGATTACACATTTGTATGTATATCGTGGATAAGTAACAGGAGATGTGGTGCATTTTCCTTTATGAATATTTATCTCTACGACTCAGGTGGTGTTAATTATTTACTCACCATTTTTACCATTATGTGCTCTTGTTGATGTACAGACATTTTTTGGTTGTCGTGGGAATCTGTGAAATATGCATGATCTTGTTTTGCCCATAAAAATAGATAGAAATAGCAACATAACAGTTGCCACTAACACTTTGCAGTAAACGAGATTGCTTTTATTAATTATAAATCCACAAGTGTTTAATTGAGTATTTTTAAGCACAAACTTGTCTTTCTCAATGGAAGAACTCATGCAGGGTGTCAGTCAAGGATATAGAACTGCCTGTAAGAGTTAACAGTGTACCCAGTGGGAAATAAGAAGCTGGTATTGCTCCCAAAAAAGCAGAAACACAGAGAACAAAGTTTTTCAAATGATCCACTTGATTAGAAGTTGGTCCCCAAAAGAGCACCATTGAGACGGCTCTCTTCATCTGGAACTGAAAATAAACAATAGAAAATTGATCTGGCTATAGCACAACTGCTATAAGGTAAAGGTAAAGGTTCCCCTTGATATTTAGTCCAGTCGTGTCTGACTCTAGGGCGTGGTGCTCATCCTCGTCTCCAAGCCGTAGAGCCAGTGTTTGTCTGAAGACAGTTTCTGTGGGCAGGTGGCCAGCGTGACTAGACATGGAACGCCGTTACCTTCCCACCGAGGTGGTACCTAGTTATCTATTTGCATTTTTACATGCTTTCGAACTGCTAGGTTGGCAGGAGCTAGGACAAGCGACGGGAGTTTACTCCGTTGTGTGGATTTGATCTTACGATGGCTGGTCTTCTGACCTTGCAGCACAGAGGCTTCTGTGGTTTAACTCGCAGCACCACTACGTCCCACTACAACTGCTATACTGTACATTATGCTATATTGCTAAGTATATGCAGTCCTCAGTGAATGATGAAGTTCCAATTTGTAGCCATCAAACGCTGAAGCAGGTTTGATTTAAAAACAGACCTTTGATAGATACTTCTTAGTTTGAAAAAGAGGCATAGTTCTAAGCCCTGCTTCAGTGGTTAATTGCCACTGTGGTTATAATATTTTTTTAAAGATTAGGCTAATACCTTCTTTATTTCTACTCTTTGTGTAATGGCCTATTGTACCACAAGTGGTTGTACTTTCTCAGTGCTTGCACAAGGGATAATTTGCATGCCCCTTGTGCACATCAATGCCCTGTTGCTTTTAATGGAATGCTCTGTCGCATTTGCAGCTGCAAATTAGAGATAACATGGAATGTAATCATCATCATCGTCATCTTAAAACTGCAGAGGTGGAAGGGCCCTGTGGATCATTGAGTCTAGCCCCTGTCAAGAAGGCACAGTGGGGAATCAAACTCCCAACCTCTGGCCCTGCTATCCCCGTGGAGCAACTTCTAATCAAGTGAAAGTGTTTCTGAACAGGATTCTGGCCTAACACATTCCGTTTCTATTCCATACAAGTAACTCAAATTGTTACTTGTAGTTATTTTTAAAAATGGTATAAATCATTGTGTTGTGTATTATTCCTTTTCTACCACATGGTGAATGAAGATACACCCCTTAATGTAATTCTTAGAAGTAACTAAGATGTTGAGTTAACTCACAAAATGAACAAAGTTTCCTTATATTAAATTGTTGCAAGTAATTAACTTATTTGCTCTTAGCTATTTCTAAACTATATTGTGAAGAAATAAGTAGCCTGGCGGATCCAAACCATTTCTCCTAATGAAGTAAAAAAAAGTCAGTGATCCAGAAATGGCAGAAGTTACCTTTTTTAGGGGGGGGGGGATACAACATCCAGAATATCCAGAATTGCTAATCTTTGGGCCAGACTAGGCATGATGTAGAATCTGAATCCAGATCTCCCACGGTACATGTCTTGCAGCTCATGGTAGATTTTTGGAGGGGGAGTGGAAAGTGGAACGAGAGATGAGGATGAAGCAACCCCTACCCATTGGCACCTCACTGCTTGCCGGGATGAGACCCTGAACATGTATCTCATGTACCTTTGCATCAGTTTGGTACATGATTACATAATGTACAGTATTTAGATTAACTGAATGTCTGATAGCTCTTGGTGTGAAAACTAAGGTTCTTCTCCATGGCCTCTGTGAATCAAACTGTGGGTAAACCGCCCATGTGCGGAGCCCCATTGGTCATTCTAGAGCTTTTTTGTTAGCAAAAAGATACATTAGTGCAGACCCCTTCTAGTTGGTATATGTACCTTGGTGCCAAGACTCTCCCTTCAGTTTCTTTCAACCACCACATTGAGAGCCTGTATTGTTCCTTCTGCGAAAATTGAAAGAGAAAGAAAAAGTTATTCAATCTTATTTTATTTAGTACTTTAATTATAACAACTATTATTAACAGATACTTGCAGTAATAAGAAAGCTGCTCCGTTCGTAGGGCTGAAGCAGTTCCTCCACCCCCCAAACTGACCTCTTTTGGCCTGTTCAAACGCTGCATGGCCTGCAATAACAAGATTCCACTCTCAGACGGCCACACTAAGTGTCTTTTTTACCTCGGTGAGGCTCATCAAACCTCATTGTGTCCCCATTGCAAGAACTTTAAGCATGGAATTCTCCACACCTGCCTTTCCAGGCTTGAGCTTCGGCTCTGGGAGCAATCTCTCCAGTCAGATAAAACCATGGCACAACCTTCCTTCCAGTCCATATCCCATGCTAAGGCCATGGACAAAGTAGTTTCTGAAGCGGCAAAACAACACCAGTCCGCTACCCCTCTTGCCCTCTGAAAGCACTTACTGTACCTATGTGGGAAGACATCACCACAGACTTGTGGGTTTTCTCCGTCATCAGGAATGGATACCGCATAGAGTTCCATCAGCTTCCTCCCCCATCTCACATCACCACACCTCCGTCCCAAACCCTGCAAGACGAAATTTAGGCATTGTTACTCAAAGATGCAATAGAACCAATTCTGCCACAACAGACAGGCATTGTTTTTCTCTCTCATTATTTCACAGTCCCCGAAAAGGACAGATGCCTCTGGCCCATCCTCAACCTCAGGGATCTAAATCAATGCATCACCATCACAAAATTCCATATGGATACTCTCGAATGACTTCAGTGGTGCAACATATTCGCCTCAAAATGAGATCACTTCAAGCATGGTTTCTGGCTTCATTCAACCCAATGACAGACCAGCCTCATAGTCTGCTACGAGTCATCCCGGAACTGGCATCCCAATTCACATGGTTGCACTCGGCCCCAAAACTAATCATGGACGGCCCTTTCAACAACCACGTCCAGAAACCTGAGTCACAACAGATGCCAGCCGCACTGGCTGGGGTGCTTACTGCAGGTCCTTATGAATCCACGCTCAGTTGTCGCAAAGAGAAAAGTTGCTCCACATAAACAAACTGGAGCTACTATCAGTAATAAAAGCTTGCAAGGCCTTCAGAAACCACCTTACTGGCAAAATGGTTCAAATAGCCATGAAGAATACCACCACAATGTATTATATCCTCAAACAAGGGGGCACCTGCTCCCCAAGCCTCCTTTATTTGGCTGTTGATCTCTGGGAATGGTGCCTAGCCTATCACATCTGCCTCATGGCAATACACATAGCAGGTCAGGACAACGAATTAGTGGACTTGCTGGGTCCCAAGTTGTCCCAAGACCACGAGTGGGAACTAGACCAGTCTGTCTTTCTCTCCCTGTGCAAATGCTGGGGCACACCCACAACGGATCTCTTGGCCTCCCGAAAAAACAGAAGTGCAAATGCTGTCATTCCTGCACAGGAGTAGGCAGAAACTCCCACGGAGACGCATTCGTTCGCCGTTGGCCCAAATCACTTACTTCCCTGTTTCCACTGTTCCCACTCCTACACAAAGTAGTAGTCCATCTCCAGCAGGACAAACCCAACGCTATCCTCATAGCTCCATGGTGGCCATGACAACCATGGTTCCCAATCCTTCACCACCTGTCGTCCAACATATATCACCTGCCTCACCTGCTCACACAAAACAATCAAATTCTCCACCCAGATCTCCCCACCCTTCACCTGGCAGCGTGGAGGATTCCGCCTCACTAATTAATGTCGTTTACCAGACGAAAAACCTTCAACCAGGAGAGCATACATGTACAAATGGAAAAAAATTCCAATCCTTTACTTCAGCAGCCTCACTTCCTTCAATTAAGCCTTCTCTTGCTACTGTCCTTCGTTTCCTCCTGCAACTGAAAACTAAAGGCCTTTCCCTTTAATCCCTCAAAGTTTATCTTTCTGCAGTTGTCGCTCATCAGCCAGCAACCTCTCCAGCAGCTGGATTCTTCAGACATCCTACCCTAAAACGTTTCCGTAAAGGGCTATCACACATGTATCCTGATGTGCGTCCTTCACTGCCTCAGTGGTCACCGACACTGGTCTTGCAACAACTTACAAAGGCTCCGTTTGAGCCCCATCCATTGACTGACCTCAGGCTACTTACCTTCAAAACAGCATACCTCATGGCTATTACTTCGGTACGATGTGCTAGTGAACTGGAGGTCTTGAGTTCTGACTACCCTTATCTCCAGTTTTACCCAGATAAGTTCAGACTCTTTGTAGATATTTCCTATCTACTGAAAGTTGTTTCCCAGTTCCACCTGTCCCAGCCTTTGGTTCTTCCATCCTTTTTTTCCATCTCCAACTACTCCACAAGAAAGAATCCTCTGTACATTGGATGTGAGGAGAGCCCTTGCTTTTTATGTAGCCCGTATGTGACCTTTCAGGCGTTCAGCTCGACTATTTGTCAGCTATCAGCTCCCGGCTAAGCGCCTACAAGTTACCTCACAAAGAATATCCAAGTGGGTTGCTTCCACTATTCAGTTGACTTATCAGCTCGCTCGAGCTCCAGCACCACAGAGTATCCGCCCTCACTCTACCAGGGCGTTGGCAACGTCTACAGCATTTCTTCAAGGCGTTTCCTGCCGGACGTCTGCGCCTTTGGTACCTGGTCACAGCCATCCACGTTCATCAACGTCTACAGCATTTCTTCGAGGCGTTTCCCTACCGGACGTCTGCGCCTTTGCTACCTGGTCACAGCCATCCATGTTCATCAACCACTACAGACTGGACATTTGGCAGTAGCCTGGTGCTGCTTTTGGGCATGCTGTGTTGTCACCTACCTTGGCATGACACCCTCCTCCGGGCAAGACAGCTTGTTAGTCTCCCACAGTGTGATTCATAGAGGCCACGAAGAAGCATGCCAGGTTACCTACCTGTAATTTTAGTTCTTCGAGTGGACCTCTGTGATTCACACATCCCGACCCCGGCCTCCCCACTGTCACATCCTGTTTGTTGTATGCAGCGGTTGACCTAACTGAAGGGAGAGCCTTGGCGCCAAGGTACATGTACTGAGGGGGACGGGTCTGCACTAATGTATCTTTTTGCTATTGCAGAAGCTCTAGAATGACCAATGAGGCTCTGCGCATGTGCAGATTACCCACAGTGTGAATCACAGAGATCCACTCAAAGAACTGCAATTACAGGTAGGTAACCTGTTGATCATAGGAGTATTTTGATGATGTATTAAAACTGGAACTTGGAAAATTGGAGTATTTTGATGATGATGTATTAAAACTGGAACTTGGAAAAGTTATTTCCCTGCTCTAGTTAGAAATCTCAACATAGTTCTGGGAGTTTTAGCAAGTTTTTTTTTTTTAAGAAGTAGTAAATGTAGTTTTAAAGAGCTATTTTCCAGGTTTTGGTTAAAATTATTGTTGAGATGCACTATATCAACATTTTGAAATGGTGAAATGCAAGCCAGAGGGTAGCATTTTCAATTGCTGACTGTTAGAAATATTTTTAATTAGGAAGAAAAAAATAAGCACTCGCATCCCTAAATAATATATATTCTGTGTGGGAGAGGGACACTGAATCGTGAAAACTAGTAGGAAAAAAAAGGTTCTCTAGTAAAATGCTTTGTGAGAAGGTTATTGCCTCCAGCCACTTCCCATTTCCATTTTGGGGCTGTCCTTTAGCCACTCCTCCCATTGCCCCAACATTCTGTCAATGTACTTTACTGCCTTGGTTATTGCACATAGTCAATATAGTTCAGAGCAGTCAGCAGTTCATGTTTGTTCATTTATTTAATTAGTTAGATATTTCCACTTCTGTACCACCACCTCAGTGTGAACACTATCTGGGCAGCTCACAGTGCTTCAAAACTTAATTACAATCAAAACAGAAACACGAAATGCAATTAATATGTTTCCTTGTGTTGTGCAGTAATTCCAACATCTTGTTTTATTCTTTAATCCAATTGCCCAGGCTACACTTTCCTTGGCTCAATTGTACAATTTCTTGTTGATAGTCCTACAACAACTCTGAAAGAGAGCTTGATTTCACATGTCTCATATAACATCTAGTTTGAGATCTAGTTTGAATCCAATTTCCTCTCAAGTGGTCTTCTACTATTGCTACCTGGATACGTCAGCCATCTTGTTGGATTTTACCATGTGTGGAAGAACAGTAACAAAAAATGTTTGTTATCATTCATTGGCTGTCCGTTGCGCAATTGACTGTTCAACCAGGGCACAGGTGGGCATGGGACTGGAAGCCAACAAAATACTAACATTCCGTGTGGGATTGCCATTCTGTTGACATAGGGCAACCAGCCAGTGAAACAGGTAGCACTGCTTGTGTGATTTGTCTTCTGTGAATAAGTAATCCAGTAGGATGCTGGTCATTGTTAAACACATTAACCATGAATTTGTATCCACTGGTGCTCTTCAGTTGGTGGAAACACTTTTGATCTAGTGCAAGCAGTTGGTCACAGAGGAAAGAAGAGAAAAGTTTGTATGATTCATAATCCACCTATGCAGCATTGAACCTCTGGAAATGTGCCCTTGAAAGCTTGGGGCAGCCTTCAGGAACAGCATGGGAGGTGATGCAGTTGGCTGCTGAGGAAGGGAATCTGTGAAAAACACCTCTGCTGTCCTCCATTAGTGAAAACCTCTGTTACATTAAAGATCATTTCACAAACAGCAGGACTTTCTCTGTTTATGATATTTTCTGACACTGAAAAAGAAGTGATAGAGTAGATTGCATTTTGTCGGTGAAATAAGAAAACAGAAGACTTTCTTGTTTGATATATTCATTTAGAAAGGTAAATGTCAGGTTCAGCAATAACTGGTTTCTATTTTGTTGCAGATCCATGCTTATATATTCCTCGCTTTGCGCACATGCTGGAGTTTGGCGATAAGAACCACGAGGTCTCCATGACAGCGCTCAGGCTTCTGCAGCAGATGAAGCGAGACTGGATGCATACAGGCCGACGGCCATCAGGGCTGTGTGGCGCAGGTATCGTAGAACTTGAAAAAGTGTGTGTGCTTATTTACTCAGATTTAATTTCTCCATTGTGAAGGTTGCTCAGGGACTGCAGAAAGAGGAGATCCTCACCCCAGAATTTCAGTAGGCACAGTATAGTGATGAGCTGCCTATGTTGATGACTTAATTAAAATTTCCTTACTTGGATAATAGACCTGTGATTACTCTCTTGATGTTCTTACTGTAAATGAATTTGGTGGCATGATTCCAAGTTCTAACGTTATGGAGGGAGGAGAAACATTTCTTTATCAGCTGTCTTCATTTTGTTCCACATTTTACATATTTATGTTAGAACTTCAACCAGAAGCTAGATGGCTCACATATGAGAGAAGAGATATTCCCCACCCCAAATGATTCAGAAATCATATAGTTGGATCAGAAGTTACATCTGTCCTTTTAAAGCCAAGCATGCATGGGACCTGCATAGTTTAATCCTTGTCATCCAAGCCAGAGTATCCCATAAATAGAAAAAAAAAAGAACAAATCTAATGCAGGACATCGAAGATGCATATAAGAGGGACAATTGTAGAAAAGTGAAGCGAGTAATTCGAGCACCTGTCTTTCTCTTGCCCCATAATCAACTGTGTAGGCATCCTTCAGTCTCGAGAGACTATGGTATTGTGCTCTGTATGGAGGTCTTGGAACAGCACATACCCAGTGTTGGTTTTTTGTAGGGGAAAATTCAGAGCCTAGAGACTTTGACAAATATGTGGCACATACCCAGTGTTGTTTTTTGTAGGGGAAAATTCAGAGCCTAGAACGGGCAAGTAGCAACTTGTGCTTAGCCATCCCCTCAGAGACACTTGTTAACAATATTGGGATAGTGCATATGGGCTAAACATACTTTTTTCTCTTTGATGATCCTAGGCATTGCACATTGGTACAGTCTCACCCCTTCACATACATTGCTATAGACACATACCTGCTTGAGCAATCTTAAAATTTTAGATTCTCTTGCCTTTCCCTCAGCCTAGTTTGATCAAGGCATATTGATTGGAGCAAGGTCCAGAGCTTAGAAGAGTTGCTCCTCTTGGGATACAATTGTAGAACCCCCCACAATTCTCAGGTTAGGATTCTGAGAACTGTAACCTTCTTTGTCATGGTCTCTGTGAATCACACACATGGGGGTTCTGCACCACCCAGAAAGCAATCTTGGAACGTTCCGGAGCACAAAGAGAGGCATTTCTCCGCTCCCTCAGCACCACTGCGCATGTCCAGAGGTATCGTAATGGCTGTCCCTCGGTTCTTCTTTGTCTGCTGCGTGAGCAGCATCTGGAGCACTTCTTTACTTATAATTCTATTATTCTCTGAACTATAAATAGTTCTCTTTTTTTACTTTTTCTACTTCCTCAATTTTCCTGACCCTTTCTACAAAAAAAATTAAAAATTAAAAAATAGTATCGTTATTTTCGTTATCATTATCCTGTTTCAATTTTATGGCCTCTGGGTCTCCTTTCAAGAAGTGTGTTGCTTGGGGATCAAAGTGTCTCATTCTGATGGACATGATAAACACCTTTTTGTCTCGGTGAGGGACATATTACACAAAACTGTAAATTTTTAAGGCTTTTACTTCCGTCGTTCTAAAACATCACCTCACCAGACTGTGATCCTGTCTCTGGGAAAAGTCCAAAAAATCAATTGACTCAGTCCCTCAAATGCACAGGAGCCCACAAGTGCTATGGAAAATTGCTTCCTTGAAGCCTCTGAAACACATAAATCTTCCAACCTCAGACACAGGTGCATCGCCCATGGAATCCACTCTGATTTTAGTACTGCCTTTGATGTTGGTATCATCCTTGTCCAGTCCTCCATTCAAGTCTATTTAGCATCCATTGTGTCACATCAACCTCATGGCTGCTCGTCATCTTGTCTCTTTGTAAATACCATTCGTAAAAGTTCCTGAAATATCAGGCATCCACCAGAATCTTGGAGTTTCATTCTTTAGTCCTCATACAGCTTATGAGACCTCCCTCGGAGCCTATGGCGACTGCTAAAATAAGGCTGTTGATCTTTAGAACTGTCTTTCTTGTTGCTGTCACATCAGTGAGTCATGCCAATGATCTCCATTCTCTCAGAACTGACCCCTCTGTTCCTGCAATTTCACAAAGGTAAAGTTGCCTTATTTCCAGATGTCAGTTTCTTACCCAGTTTCCTATTTCCAACCATTTGTGTTACCCCAGATGTCAGTTTCTTACCCAAACAGTTTCCTATTTCCAACCATTTGTGTTACCTACCTTTTTTTGCCAGTCCTCAAACACCTCTTGACAAATTGCTTCACATGATGGACGTGTGATGTGCTTGGTCCTTCTGTCTCTCTTTGTGAGGGTCCGCTATTCTTTGCCTCCCCCAGGCCAAATAAAGCCGTAGACGCATTTGAACAAAACAATTTGTTTTCTTTATTTAACTGTGGTAACGGAATAGAAACGTCAATCAGGTTGGGGATAAACTTCTCCTGTTGAAGTAACGGTTCATACAGGGGCACCCAATCTTCGTCAAAAGGGTTACTGGACTTCGATGCCCATGGACCGGCCTGAACCTGGGAGGGTTCTTCGGGTTCGAAGTCTTCTCTCTCCATCGTTAGTAATGGGGTCGTCTCCTCGAGCCCTGTATATCCCCAGGGTAAGGTTGTTGCTGACCCGAGGTGCTCCCAGGGTCCGGACGATACCCCAGCCTCCTCAGCTCCTCCAGATGCCATCGGGTCTTCTCCTCTCTCTCCCTCTCTACCCGTTTCTTCTCCTCCACTAACTTTCGTCGCCACTCTCGGGTCTCTCTTTCTCCCCAGTAAGAGGGACGGACCCGGGCCTCATTCCTCCTTCTCTCCTCTGCTTCTTGCTTAGTCATGCACACCTGTTCCCACTTGCCCGACCAGGGGTCTTGGATCGAGACCCATTCCCATCTGCCTTCTTCCCCTGCTTGTCGGTGACTCACCTCCCCCACAGCCCCCTCCTCAGGATCTCTCGCTCCTTTTCCCGCCCAAACCAAAGGTGTCTGGGTAGCTATGCTTAACCCCTTCAAGCCCCGTTCTAAATCAACGGTATCCACTGCCTGGTGTAGCATCCGGGGTGGAAACGGCTTGGGTGCGGTCTGGGTACCCACGGAGGCTCTAGGGCGAGACGGCACTCCTAACATCACCTCACGACCCGGGGAACGGGTGTCACACTCTTGCACAAAGGACTTTTGGAAGCTTGTTTGACTTTTCCTCTGCTGTCCCAGCCCCAGAAAGGACAAGCCAGTGTCATCCTAAAGACTGGTAAAATAAGTGGTAGAGACTATCCTAATAGAGCACAGGTTGCTGTCCTCTGAAGATGCCGGCCACAGAGACTGGCGAAACGTTAGGAAGAACAACCTTCAGAACACGGCCAAAGAGCCCGAAAAACCCACAACCACCATACTATCCTAATAGCTTATGAGTTGGCTCATTGACCAATACCTCAGGGAATTAAATGAGGGCTGTTGAGACCCAGTGCTGCTCAAAGAGGGCTGACTTGGCCTGCAGAGCTAATCTCAGCCACTTACCTTCATCAGGCATTATGGACTGGATATTCATTCCCAGCTAGATGCTTCTTTTGGAAGAGCAGTGCTCACATCAGTGATAGTGTGGCATCTCTCCTCCAGCAGATAAGCTTGCTAGTCACTCATATATGTGATTCACAGAGACCACAATGAAGGAGGACAGGTTGCCTATCTGTAACTGCAGTTCTTTTGAGTGGTCATCCATGAATTCATACATTCCCCCCTTCCTCCCCTCTGTCTGTCATGCTCAGCTTATGTCTGGGTGGCTGATGGAGGAGAACTGAGAGAAAGCCTTTAGGGTGTGCCTTGTCATTTGCAGTGGCACTGGGGGAGGGGGGGAAACGCCTCTCCTTAGGCTCTGGAAGCTGCTTTCTGTTCAGGTGCAGAACCCCTATAGATATGAATCCATGGATGAATCAAAGAACTACAGTTCTAGGCAAGCAACCTGTCACTTCCCCTCACTTCCCAGCAATTTTTTTTTGGATTCTGGCAGTCAGACTTCAAGCATTTTGCAACAGGAACTTTTCTCCTTTATCAGTCTGTATGCTCAAGGAGACATGCCTGGGAATAAATATTTTTTGTATGGGTCAGGTCCATGGAACAATCACATTGAATGTACATACCAAAGCTCTTTGGCGGCTGGCTTAATTTTACTGCTTGCAAAGTTAAGTTTTAGAAAGTTCCAGTTTTAATCACTCTATATTCAAGCCCGGAGCTAAACATCAATATTTCAAAATTAATATGAGAATTAGAATTTCAGATGGGCTACTTGCATGACTCACCATATTCCCTTGCTTTGCCTTCCACTGAGCTGCTTTTTGATGTGGCGCTCTCCCTGTTTGTGCTGCAGCTCTTCTGGTTGCAGCGAGAATGCACGATTTCCGGCGTACAGTGAAAGAAGTCATCAGAGTGGTTAAAGTGGGTGAATCTACGTTAAGGAAAAGGTAGGTTGCATTTTTGAGAGGTTTTGCTCCCACTCCCATTTTACTTGTAATTCAGTGCAATTGTGAGTTTAGCATTGATAGTATGGACCACAGGAGCGTTTTCCCTTTCTAGAAAGGCGTTACTGGCCAGCATAGTCCTGACATGTTGCAAAAGCAGCAGGTCCACGCAGACCATCCACTTAATTTTTACATGTGAATAAGAGTGTTCATCAGGGCCAGAGTGGCCATGCGAATGACTGCAGCCATATATAGGATATTGCTGTTCCTCCATCTGGTTCCTTCGAGGTCTGCTGCTGGAGCTGGATTTGAAGAGGAGAATATTCTGTTTTGGACAAACCAAGGTCAGAAGATCTGGTGTGCCACCATTTACAGTAGGCACAGAGGATTCATATTGCCAGCCAATCCTTGGGCAAATGTTGCATACTAGAGCCGCCTAGAGTGGTCTTAACCGGCTAGATAGGCGGGATATAAATAAAATAAGTATACAGTACTCAAGTTCCGTTCTGTTTGGGAACAGAAGGGAACTTGAGTATGCAACATTTGCCCAAGGATTGGCTGGCAAGATGAATAATCACAGCCTGGATGGTGCCTCACCCACAGTGCTGAATGGAAATAATTCCATTTGGTCCATAGCTGTTCCAGCTAGTACATGTAACTCAGTTGGACTTGTGATGACATGCTGAGTTCCAGTCCATCGAATCGTGGTGGTTGTTTTTCCTCAAAGGGGGACTTATTTCAGTATGAAGAGAGGGTCCTAAATGTTGAGATGGCTCCGGATTGTTTACCCCTGCTATAAAACACAAATTTGGCAAATCTAATGTTTGTGTGTGGGGGACTTATTGAATTTATACTGCCTCTAAATCCCAGTAGATGTTAAATTGTTTCATCAATCTTGTTTTAAGTAGGTCTTCATTTCAAGAGGCTGCTTAAAGAGAAACCATTAGATCGTAGTTGTTCCCAACTGGAGTCCACATCTACTCAGATGCTCATGAAGAACTCCAGTAAATGCTGGCTTCCCCATTCACTGCAAAGCATGGTGCAGTTTCTAGATGTGTATCTTCTCCTGTATGTGGAGTTCTTCCTTCAGGGAAGTGAAAAGAAAACTTCAATGCAGTAGATAGAGCACCAAATATTCTTTGAAAACTGTGTACTTGCAAAGAATTGGTGACTTAGGACAGCCACATAAAAAAAGCAATTTTTGCCAAGATTTTAAGGCAAACATCCCGTTGTCTTTCGTTGAGTAATATGGCTTAGACTTGAATGCTGTGGACTTCTAAACAGAAAAAAGTGGGATTTTTCTGGGTTTTTTTGCAGTTTTTATTAGGGAGACTGATTCTCCATGTACAGTGGTGCCCTGCATAGCGAGGTTAATCCGTTCCGGATTAACCATCGCTATTCGGAAACATCGCTAAACGGCATAGAAATACCCATTGGAACGCATTAAACGAAGTTCCAATGGGCCCCAAACTCACCGTTCAGTGATGTTCCTCCATAGCGCAGGCATTTTCGCGCCCTCAGTAAGCGAGGGCAGGGCGTGGGTCTTCCGGCGGCCATTTTGGAACCGCCGGTCAGCTGTTCCCCCGACATCACAATGCAAAGATCGGTAAGTGAAACGCTTACCGATTGTCGCAAAGCGAATTTTGCCCATCAGAACCATCGATATGCGATCGCATTAGCGATCCCAAAAATCGGATCGCTATGCAAATTCGTCATTAAACGGTGCGCTCTTTATGCGAGGCACCACTGTAGTTTCCAGATGATTTTTAAAAAGCCTCTTTAAATCCTGACCTTTGAAAGGTTTCAGAGTTGGATGCAAACCAGAGAGTAGCTTGTGTGACAGTGTCAACTTTCTGAAATAATGCAATGTTATTTACAGACCTGCATTATACATAGATTGTGTTATGGAAATTTTCCATGTAATTCTACATGTTCAATAGTCAAAGCATTCCTCTGTTTTACCCACAAAGTGGATTTCAGTTAAAATGTTTTTGTTTGGTAGAAAAAAGTAAAACTATTATACACTTTTAAACCACTGGCTCTAACTAGGAATCGAAATGTTAATCCCATCAGGCAAGGGCCAGGATATTAAAGTGTTTTTATCCCCAAATCAAAAATAATCCAAGAACATAAACAGGCTTTAAAAAGGTGTTTCTGTTGCTGCTACTCCCAGAAAAGGTTAAATTAGTTTTTCCTTGAATAATAGAAAAGTACTGGCTCAAATAGAAAATGTTTGATGATAACTCCTGTTTTGAAAAACTGTATGTAATTCTTACATCCATTTCCTGTTAATACTTGACAACTTCACAGTTGGAAGCAAATAAATATTTCACTTGATTTCTGTATAGCTTACAGAAATCCTAAATATTAGGGCTGTGGGCCGATGAAATAATTTTTAGTGATTAATTGGCAACCTAATTTGTTGATTTAATTTGAATGTATTGGTATCCAGTATATGCAAAGCCTAAACATTGCAACAGCAAAGCCTCAGCTACATATAAATGAAAGCAGTTGGTATTCAGAGCAGGAGTGAGCAACTTCCTCGGGGCAGGAGATTGCACTGGATCCTCCCAACCAATATTCCCTGAAAGGAAGGGAACTCAGATCATAGCCATGCTGCAGAATCTTGGTGGGGTGATTACTCCTGTAGCAGTGCTGCTGATTTCTGCATTGGCAGTAAATGAGGGTATTGCGGGCTGCAGAAAAGTCAAGGCATAGCTGGCATGTGGATTACATGTTGCCTACAGTTGTTCCAGAAGCATACTACTTTTGAATTACTGTATTTTTCCATGTATAAGACTATACTTTTCTCTAAAATCTTTAGACTAAAAATTGAGGGTTGTCTTATACACGGAAGTAAGCTGAGGAAAGAACAGAAACAAGTGGAGGGGAAAGCAGGGATCTAAGTTATCCTGCAGCGCTTTGATCCTTTCCCCCGTGCATTTGCTAAGCCCCACTTAGATTTCTTAATTTTGGGTTAGAAAAGTGGGGGTGTCTTATACATGGGGTCATCTTATACATGGAAAAATATGGTAAGTGTCTGTACAATTAGCAAGTCTCGAGCCTTTGGTAAAGTTATTTTAATTCAGAAAAAGTCCAAGATTTCTAGAAACAGGAAGTGAAACTCCTGTGTGTAATTTGCCTGATCTTGAGTTGATCAAAGTAATGATTTATGAACTCAATCCTCTCTGAATATGTATAATCTCTTGATAAACTTCAGAACAAGTAAGGCTTCCTATGGGGTAGGAGCCACCATAAAAATTGCTTAAAATTGAAACTTACTGTTTTAAAGTGATTTAAAAGTGAGTGGCCCTATTAAGTAGATAGTTTGCACAGTTTCCACATGACATGGATGGATTATTGATGCACAGCCGTCATTTTATTTGATTGATGGCAAACGTGTTGTGTTGCAGTAGAAGTACATTCATTTGAGCAGTTGTTTAAAATGAGGGAGCATAACTGCAAAATTCGTGCTTTGAAATGTTTACTCAGGTCATGCACATCAACTAAATTGACAGTGTTATTTACTTTGACGAGGTAAACGTGACAGCTGAATTATTTTCAGGGAGCTATAATTACAACTGTATTTATCACAAATCCATAAAACATGATTGATGTTTCTCAAATAGTCCCACATTATATCGCATTAATCGCAGGCATATTCAAAACAAACCTTCCTGAGTAAACCTTCCTCAGCCCAATGTCTTTTTTTTCTTCAAGCTTCCCCCCCTTCAACCATTTAGATTCTTAAGATGTCATTAAGTAGAGTTTGAGTGAATTAATAAGCACTTGTCTCACAGAATTCTTTCTTTTTTAAAAAATTCATACCTACTTCTTATGAAACAGAGGATCTGTTCAGACATTACATTTTCTTCTGAGATTTAACCCAGGGATAGATGAGGGGCAGATCACTTGCCAGTTTCTCCCTCTATCCTTACTCTTCTCATCTCGGTGGATGTGGGGCAGGCTGCGTCTCAGTGAGAGAGCACTTGTTTTGTATGTGGAACATGCCAGATTCAATCCACGGCATCTCCAGTTTGGGCACGGAAAAACAGTGGCTGAATGCCACGGGAGCCACTCTCAGTCAATAAAAATAATACTGAGCTAGAGAGGCTGATTATCTGATTGAATATAAGCCAGCTTCCTAGTGCAGAATGTTCGTCTTCGTTTCTGTCTTAAGAGTGTTGTGGGTGGGAGGGTCTAAGTCAAGAGCCCATCTGTGATCCTCTGTTGAGGCAGATCCAGAGCTTGATTTTTTAAAAACTTATTTGGACTCAAACACTCAGTGATCTTGGCCTTGGTGGCTTAGGATTCTGAGAGGAGTCCAAAGAAGTAATAGTTCTAAGCTGTGCTTGAATCTAGGAGGCAAATCTTTTTTTTGTACAGATGGGGGAGTTTTATTTTTGTCCCCTAATTGCTGTGTCTCAGAAGGGTGAGATGGTGTTCTTTCTCGGAAGCTTACAGCTACCGCACTTCCAGTGAGCTTCAAAGTTCTGTCCATGCCACAGTTTAGCCAGCAAAGCACAAGGCGTGCACTATGACAATCTGAGTTACCCTCCACTGGAAACTCCTTCATTTAATTTTGCATTTCCATCCATTGCTGAGTTATGATGTCTCCTTTTGAACAGTGTAGCTTTCTTTTCAGTCCAAGAGAACTTACGATTTTCCACACAACATAGAAAAACACGCTGTACGATTGTCTGAGCTAAAATGCAGGCATCCAGCCACTGGGATCTAGGAAGCAGAATTGACTAGCAGTCAATGGCCAGACTGGATGGATGAAGTCAAACAAGAGGTTCTGTAGTTTTGATGCTTGTATCAGTCAGCAGTAGTGATCAAATCAGTTCTCAGTTCTGTCTCTAACAGCTCCTGATAAAAAGATAAGAAATTTGACAGATTTGGAATGCGTTTTATCAACAAGTGTGCCTCCCTCATTCCAATGTGATGTGTGATTTCATTTCTGAAATAACGCTTAGGATGCAGTTATGATCTCTCTCTGTTTTTTTAAATCACAAGGCACGGAAACAATCTCACCATAAAATGTGCATTGGGGGAGCTTACATATGCAAGGCATGTGTTCTGTATCAACCTGTATCCAAGTGCTAAAGCCTCTTTGTACTCACATATGGCAGTTTCTGAAGATACATATTAGCAGTTTTTTTTTTAAAAAGTGTGTAATTCATTTATATATAGTAGCAGTCACTTTAATTTTAGCAGTGAGTCTTTTTATGGAAACCACAGAGCCTAGTACTCTTTGTGTAGTAAAAAGAATGCTTTGGGGAGTGGAGGAAAGGTGGAATCCTGTTTCTTTGCTTTGTGATGTACCACGTTCTGAAAGTTATCATGGGCGTGCATTAGAGAGCTGACAAGATGAATAAAAGTTATATTAAGCACCCTGGGGAAGAAATAACCAGCATTGGTAGTTAAGGGATATGCGCCAGTCAGGATGGATCTTGAATCAGCTGTCAAGCAGATGGCTGACTTAGGGAATTTGGGATGTTACCAAAAGGAAAAGAATGTTTGCTATGAATGGAAGTGCATGGCTTTATTTGGTATCTGACTACAGATTCCGCTGGAGATCCACCAAGAATTGCTTTGCTAAATTAAGTAGCATCCTGAAATACATATTAAAATCATTTCAAAGTGGTATCATTGGTTCCATTGCAAGCATCTTGCCAATGCACTAGGCTATAATCCAGTTCAGCTGGTTTCCTAATTTCTTACACCAAGTTAGCTCAACAAGATCTTCATTTTCCTGCCATGGATAAAAGTATCATTTTCTCTGCAGAATTTCCTTCTGAGCAAGTCTTAACATTCCAGGAAACAGTCTACTGCAAAGATAGGAAGAATTTAAGTAATTTATTTTTACACTTGCTTAGAAAATAGTATCACTTTGAGAGTTGCAACCACAAAAGTCAGTACAGAAAAACAGAAAACAAAACCTGCAACCCACCAGAACTCTCGTAGTATTGTTGGGAGATTCAGTGCCCCTCGGCTTCCCAAATGACATACTGCAGCCCCTTGTGGTCCCCCCTATCAGTGGATGATCGCCCATCCAAGGACTGGAATGAAGGGTTATGTTTTCCCTTCTTTGTAACCTTTTACGGTTTAGAATCAGGATGTTTTTGCTTTATTTTTGAAGGCTCACCTTCTCCTGTACAAACCTGTTCACTTGTGAAGATTACAGGGAGAGTTCCTTTTACCTCTCCCACCTTTTCATGTTGTCTGTTTCTTGGGGGTCTAGAGAGAGGGTGCTTGTGGGAGTCACTCACAGCTAAGCCATACAACTCCCTTCCATGGGGAACCTGTTTGATCATCTTCTACCTGCTTTCTGTTGCCACTGGGGATATGAACAAGGCTTTCACCCAAATCCCTCTTTGGCCGCTATGATCAAAGAAGAAATCCAATCCAGGTGCAGCATCCCAGTTCAGCTTTGTTTAGGCCAGTCATTGCTGTGCATAACGTTCATGCTGAGACCTCACCCTGACAAGTATGTATTGCACCAACAATTCTGAGCTTTAGGTGCATGCTCAAAATTGAAGATAATCATTCAAGCTAGGCCTCCTCAAATAACTTCGACCCGATCAAGCATTATAGGTGTTAAGTTAGACATTGTATTTGACTACTGTGCAGTGTGTTGATAAATTTATTTATTAAGTGACACATACATATATAAATATGCAAGCACAATGTAAACATGTGCAAAATGAACAAAATCAATAAATCAAATGAGATTGGAGAACCTTGGCGGGTGAAATAATCTTTCTTTCTCCTTTTTAACTGAGATTTTATGCTATGACCCTCCAAAACCAGTTTTTATCTTTCCTTCTGCTTTTCTAATTGATTGGTAGCCCCAATATCATTCATTCATTGATTCATTCATCACTTTTCTGCTCCACATTAATTCTCTACAAAAAGTAAAACATTTAAGAGCAGGAGATAGTTGTTGTCAAAATACGTTTACAAGCCAGCACTATAAAGTACACCAGGAACAACTCTAAACACCAGCTTTAAAAATAATGGAAAGAACCAAAGCAATTTATGAAGCAATGTAGACTCAGCTGGTGAGGGATGCAACTAGCTTGACTTCCCTTGGGCATCTGTTCCATTTGCCCAGGGGATGAGAACAATACAGAAGATGGAGGTTGTTCTTGGATAGCTGATTTTGTGACACACAGAAAAAGTAAGGACAATGATCAGTAACTGGAACAGTGGTGTGTGATACCGAAAAAACCAGCATGCAGGATTGAGGGAAAAGCTCATTAGTAGAGATGGGGACGACTCACCATTTTAGCAAGTCATTCTGTTTCGTGAGTCATCAAAACTTGACGATTCACGAAGCACAAAGCTGCCCCCATGAACCGCTCTCAGTTGGCTATCCAATCCTGGCAGAAGGAGGGAAGATGAGTCTCCCTGCCAGGCTGACGAATGGATAGCCAACTGCGAGCTCCGGAGTAACTGGTGGAGAGAATGGAGCTTCCACCAGCAGATGTGTGAGTGGACGGTCTGGCCCCAACGGGCAGGAGCCTCATGTCCAGCTGTGCGGGGGTAAATACGAATACCCCCATCTTTACATCCTTGTAGTGTAAAAAGAGGTTGTTCCGTGCATTATGTATAGCTGTTGCTGTCCTAAGCATATGGCCGCAATTTTCCCAATTTAAGGAGTTCACACAATATAAATAAAAATATGTGAGTTGCTACCCAAGATGCCACTTATTCTTACCCTCAAACCTACGAGATGGCTGTCAGGAAGCCACTCCAACCTCTTCAGTTGTTCCAAAACATATGTTCTCCATATATGTTGGAGGAACATCGTAATCCCACCTCCTCCTTTATTGCTTTTAACACCTGAAATTGACCGGTTAAAGAGTAGTGAATTGTGTAGCCTGTCTGTACAATCTAGAAGGCATGCATGGACACACCCAAGTTTCTGGACGATGTGGAGATACACAGATGGATGACCGCATGTGAAGCACATGTGCTTTAAGAATAACTGAATAGGACTTCTGAGTTCCAGATGCTTTCAAGCAGCAGGTTATGGAACATAATCCTGGCTTTTCTCAAAGAGGACTGCAAGAGTATGTGAAGGACTTGAACATTTGAAATGCAGTAGATATTTGTGGTGCTATTAAGTATGTATCACTCATTGCACTTAAAACAGGAGAGGAGAAGAAATACTTAGCATAGTAACACTAGAAGACTTGAGGTGGATCAGACCAAAGGCCTGTTTGTCCAGCATTCTGTTTTGACAATAACCAGAGGGAAAGCTCAGAAGAAGGACCATGGGGTGAGGGTGGGGAACCAGCACTTTCCTGCTTGGATATATGCAGGCACACAGCCTTTGATACTAGAGACTGTGTATGGTCATTAGAACCACTAATCATCAATAGCCCTTTTCTCCATGAATTACTCTCACCCATCTTAAAAGCCATTTCAGTCATTCCATCATAAAGTGCATTCAACCATCTGCTGTATAAAGATGATCTTCCTTTCTGCCCTTACTATCCAGTTGTTAGCTTCGGTGGATAATCCCATTGAAGAAAAGGAGAAAAATGTCTTTCTCATCACTTTCTCCGCATTATGCATCTAAATCATGTCTGTCCTTCTTTGCCTTTTTCTGAGCTAAAATGCTGCAAATGTTGTAGCCATTTCTCATGGAGCAGCAGCATCTGCCCATTGCATGACCCCCCCCCATTTATGCTATTTTCTTTACGTTGTAAATGCAAAATGGTTAAAGAAATATATCAAGTGAACAACATTGTGAATACTAATACTGTTTTTTATTTCTTATTTTTATTTCTATATTTATCATTTTTATGCCCACCAAAGTAGTGCAAAAAAGGTAGAAGAAAAGATCAAAACATTATTTAAAAACAGTTTTAAAACATTATTTAGGAACCAGCTGTTAAACTAGGAGGCGTATGAAACGGGGCAGTCTTGCCTGCTGTCTGGAAGCTCAGCAGGAATGGCACCTGCCTGATTTCTCTGGGGTTCCAACTTTTAGCCTTTGGGATCAAAACATGGCGATCAAAACAATTATTCTACCGTTGGCTTATCTCTGCGATTCTTGCATTGTCTTATATTGGGCACATTTTCTCCATCTATAAAATTCATTACTTGTTTTCAGAAAAGGAAGTAAAGAGGTTGTTGGCAGAGTTTTGCATGTGTTACATTACACATTTATTCCCAGACATCTCATATTAAAGGATCTTGAGTAAACAGTTATGGATAAGATCTCTGCTTTAAATCCCAGAGGTCTACAGTCAAGCAGGGCTGGATGGTTTAATGTCGGTTAAACTTGCAAAATGAAGCTATCATATATGCTAATGTAATTATGCATCAAAGGACATTTTCTGAGATGAATGCATTTATTTAAAATACGTTTACCCCTCCTTTTTCTTAAAAAGGACCCAAGACGGCTTACAGTATTAAAATATGAAACGTGTTCCTTTTAATGGTCATTTTACATTTGAGAACTGTTATTTGTTGTCATCAGCCTGGCAAGAAAGGAGTCAGCGGAGTTATTTTAAATTGTTTGGGCCAAGTTCTTTACATGATTTTCTTAAGAGCTGGAGAATATATATTACCTCTGGTTTGATTTGTCTGCTGTGAGATCCTTACATTAAAATATTTGCATTAACTGATATATGTATGCCTTTAGACTTACGGAGTTTGAAGATACACCTGCAAGTCAGCTAACAATAGATGAGTTCATGACAATCGATTTAGAAGAGGAATGTGATCCTCCGTCTTTTACAGCTGGTCAACGAAAGCTGAAGATTCAACAGGTGAATACTTTTAGCTTGTAAGAGTTTTCTTTCTTTCTTTCTTTCTTTTTTTGTGGTAGGAGATGCAATGTTCTGGTCAAGCTGTCTATCCAGTTTATCTTATTTTGCTCTTCCATCAGGAAACCTAAAATGATGATGATCAAAGAAGTGCATAAAGCACTCATAACACTAGCAAAGTCGTTTAACAGAGAGGATCATTAAAATTTATAAAAATCCTTCTGAAAAACATGAATTACTACTGAGATCTGCTTGGATCCCGGAAATGCAATGTTCTGGTCAAGCTGTCTATCCAGTTTATCTTATTTTGCTCTTCCATCAGGAAACCTAAAATGATGATGATCAAAGAAGTGCATAAAGCACTCATAACACTAGCAAAGTCGTTTAACAGAGAGGATCATTAAAATTTATAAAAATCCTTCTGAAAAACATGAATTACTACTGAGATCTGCTTGGATCCCTACAAAGTCATTTGATCCATGACAAAACAGTATTTTATTTAAAAGCTTGCTGAAATAAAGGTATTTTCATCATTGTTGGGAGGACCTGCCCTGAAAAATGGAAGTTATGAGCCAGGGTGTTGTGGCTGGAATGTTCTTCCTTGGAGAATTTTAAATAATTTGCTGACCAGGGAGAACGTCCTCTTTTTTGTCCTCAGTTTCTGCAATCCCTCAGCTAATATGGCTAGTGGATTTACTGAATGGGACTCATAATAATCCCAAAAAGGAAATTTCCCAAGGTCAGGTGCTGAGTAAAGAAGGTGGCTAAGAATTCAAGTTAGGGATTTGAACAGAGGACTCACATAGTTTGAGGAACATAATTGCTGAATTGCCTTGTGAGCAGAGTTTTGGATACAGGAGAAAATATTGAGATGTGACAAGAAAACGCCTAGCAAGAAGATAATTGGAGTATTTATTTATTTATTTATTTATTTATTTATTTATTTATTTATTTATTTATTTATTTATTTATTTGAGTTATATGCCGCCCACACTCCCCAAAGGTCTCTGTGCGGCTTACAACAATTAAAATACAATAAAAAAGACAAAACAATTAAAATACAATTAAAATATATTCTCTAAAAATTGCCATCAGGACCCACAGTTGATATTATTTCAATTAAAAGCCTTCTTGAACAGGAAAGTTTTGACCTGGCACCGAAATGTTATCAGCATCGGCGCCAGACGAATTTCTCTCGGGAGAGGGCGTTCCATAGTCTGGGGGCAGCTGCTGAAAAGGCCCTTTGTCTACAAGCTATCCCTCTTACCTCTTTGAGGGATGGCTCTTTCAAAAGGGCCCCCTGGCTAGATCTTAACTGCCAGGTAGGCTCATATGGAAGGAGGCAGTCCTTCAAGTATCCAGGGCCCAAGCTGTTTAGGGCTTTACATGTCAAAACAAGCACTTTGAATTGGGCCCCGGCCGCAACTGATAGCCAGTGTAATTTAAAGAATCAGCTTGATGTGTTCTCTAGCGGCCCCGCCACTCACCAGCCGCGCAGCTCAATTCTGGACCAGTTGCAGTTGCTGGACCGTCTTCAAAAGCAGCCCCACGTAGAGCGCATTGCAGTAATCTATGCGAGATATTACCAGTGCATGTGTAACTGTCGTGAGACTCCAATCGTCCAGGTAGGGCTGTCGCTGGTATAATTACTACAGCTGAAGGAAGGGGCCCTGACCACCTAGTCCACCTGGGCTTCCAGAGTTAGACTGGGGTCCAGGAGCACCCCCAGGATGCGGACCCTGTCCCTTAGGGGGAGTGTAACCCCATTCAGGGCAGGGAAATGGCCCTCCAGCCTGTCCAGTGAAGCACCCACTAACAGTACTTCCATCTTGTCTGGATCGAGTTTCAATATGTTTAATGAATCAATGCCAACTTCATGTTGGTCTTTGGGTTCTGTGCTTGCTCCTATTTGGGAGATGGTTACTGGGCCCGAGTGTTTGTTCTGCTTACAGAACTATCATAACTGCAGTTCTGCTTTCTCTCTCTCTGGCAGCCTACCTGCTGTGCACATGTTCTCATCAGCCTACACCTCACCTTGCAGTGTAATGACAAATTTATTTTGATTTACAAGATTTGGAATTTTTCATATGATACAGCTAAGCTTATTTTGTTCCATGCAAATTCATTCTCTTCTGTATGCCACATTCATTCTTCCACCCCAATTAACAAAGGACACAGCTGGAAAGGTATTTACTTGTTAATTGGATGCTGAAAAAAAACACCTTTCTTTTTCTTAGTTCTTTTCTCCCTGGAGATGCCCAGAGGTAGAAAAATAAAAACAAAACAGTACATAGAATTCTGTGTTTTAACTGGTCCAACTTAAAATAAGTGCTGCTATTAATTATGATCAAATAGTGTTGGAGTTGCTCCAAAACATTGCTTGCCAAGACATGCGGTGTTGGCTTCTGCACTGACAGATATTTCTGAACATTTACTAATTCTGTGTGCAAATGATTGTGGGTGTATAGAAAAATAAAACTTTTTTTGATGTTGACTTGAAACCCCTCTCCAGAAGTTTCTGTGTGGGCATTTGGGGCTATTTTTCCAAATCTTTGGATGTGTGAAAGTTCTTGTCCTTGACAGATCATTGTTGATTCCAAGGCTTGAAAAAGTCACTTATCTATGCCCATGCCAGCTACAGCATTCTGGCATTGATCGTTTTAAAAAGGGGATTTTCATTTTAAGGTCTGGTTGGACCTTAGTATGCCCATTTGAAGGTAGTTGGCCACTTCATAGTTACTAATACAGAATTGTCCCATAATGGAGGTATTTGGGACTAATTCCAAAGGATAATTTTGAAATGGGTTGCAGAAGGTGCATAGTGACCCACTCTAACTGCTTATGTGATCAAACGTGTGCTAATATGCAAAAAGTTTCTGATGCCTTCCTTGGCATTTCTAGTAGAAAAGATCACGTGATAGGAATGAACTCTGCTTGAAACCTGGAAGACTTATTGTATACAATACAGTGGTGCCCCGTATAGCGAGGTTAATCCGTTCCGGATTAACCTTCGCTATGCGAAAACATTGCTGTACGGGCAAGGAAAGCCTATCGGAACGCATTAAACTTAGTTTAATGCGTTCCAATAAGCGTCCAAACTTACCCCTCTAGCGATGTTTTCGCGTCCGGCGGCCATTTTGGAGCCTCCGATCAGCTGATCGGCGGCTTCAAAATGGCCGCCGGATGACCCGAAATGGCCCCCTATCAGTGTTTTCGCACCCTCCCCTTGCTTACCGAGGTCGCGAAAACGCTGCGGGGGGGCATTTCGGGCCATCCGCGGCCATTAAAATGGAAACCAGCCCTCAAGGTAAGACCCATTAATTGTTCCTGTAGCCCATTTTGTTGTTTTCGGCCTGGCTGCTTTGATTAGCCAGGCCGGGCAAGGGTCAAGAGAAGAGGTGGCAGCTCGACAGCGGTCAAGCACCTTGTCCACAGAATCAGCCGTCATGGGCTGAAAGGAGTTGAAAGTCACTGGGCAAGACGGAGTGCTGTTTACGATGTTTTCATTCTACAGCGATTTCGCTGGAACGAATTAACATCGTAATGCGAGGCACCACTGTACATATATATTTTAAATTGTCCCACGTTGTTCTGACTGTGGTCAGAAGTGTGGGTTTCAGACTTCATCTTTAGTAATGCTCTGATTTGAAGGTGATATCTGGAATCTGTACCTTTCACCTGAATCTGTAGCCATTGTTTTAAAACTTGCTTTTGACAAAGGAGTTTGACATTTATCTCTTCCCATAAATTTTGGATCTTTTATGTTTCTTCCACACCGCCCATAGCTCTGTGGTTCCTAGTAGCTCAAGTGGTGATTAGCCTGATGAAGACCTCTGTGGAGATGAAAGCTAACTTTCGCTTGTGATTTTAAAAGTGGTCTAATATATGTAACACCCATCCTTGCTTTCAGATCATGTATACGGAACCACATATTTTTTCTTCTTTTTTCTTTCGTTAGAGAGTGTTTTATGAGAAATTGATGGAATGGCCAGAGTGTCTTACATTTGGAGGGGGTTGCTTTGGAGAGAGAGAACATTCAAAGGAAGCATAGCAATTTATACATTTACACAAGTTGTAAGGAAAAGGGAAAGTTATTTGCTGTCAGAATATCTGGATTCGAGGTCATCTAGTTAAATCAACTGTCTGCACTTTATTCATTCCAGCAAATAGAGATCCATGCTAATGGAAAAAGGAGTTTACTGTTCAATAGCCATGGCAGACAATGGACTCTGGCACTTATATCTTTGCATTGATTCAGCAAAAAGAAAAGCCTACATACTCAAATTATAGCGACCAAATTGGAAATCCTGTTAAATATCAAGTCCTGTAAATGCCATGGTCTTTTGATAAACAGCCAGTTGGTGATGGCAGTAAATGCAGCTGGTGTCCCTGTGACATTTATGGCAGCCTCAGCTAGTTAAATGCAAGCCCGGGCAGTTGCAATTTCTCCATTGAAGGCCATTATGTGTTCATTATGCAACATGTGCGCTCTCGCTGTCATTTTGTTATGCTGTTTGTTGTTTAAATTCTAATGCTCTTGATGGATTAGGGAAAATTATTTCCAAGCCACTACAGCAAATCTGTAGCTCATAAGAACTACCTTTGCCATTGCACTAGTATGAGGTCCATTTTGCTAGCTGGTGTGCATTTACTTACCTGGGTGCTGTTTCCATTGCACAAGTACTTGTGCAATGCAGATTGTATTTCCGCAATAGTACTTGTACTGCTGCTCACACAGTGCTGTAGTCAGTGCCGGTAGATAATGGGGATTTTTACTTCACTGCTGTGATCTTGGCTTTAGTTCCGTTTGTCTACCTAGCCTAATATTGTCAGCTCTGGCTGGCAGCAGCTGTTCCGCAACTGAGGCAGATGTCTGTTCATATTTCCTGTTACCTAAGCCTTTTAGCTTCAAATGCCAGGTATTGAACCTCAGATCTCACACATGCAAGGCAGGTGCCCTGTTACTGAGTTGATACTGTATTTGCTGGTGTATAAGACTACTTTTTTGCCCTGAAAAACATGCCTCAAAGTGGGGGGGGTCATCTTATACGTCAGGTGCGCTTCAGTTGGGATAGACATAGTTGCCATAGTGGCCTTCCAATGCTCGCCTGGTGCTCATAGTAGCCTCCCAATGCCTGCCCACCACATTCTACATACCGTCCAGTATTGCACGGTATCCAGCACAGCTGTGGCGAGCATCAGCAGCGAGACAAGGGTGCCAGCCTTTTCAATGTGACCGCCCCGTTCTGCTCAGCGGGAAGCAGCGGCACTCCGGCCCACCCCTTGTCTACGGAGAGCTCACACATACGCACTTGCACACTAGTGCCGGTCACAGGGAGATGCAGGTGCAGGCCGGAGGTGCTGCGGTCGCGCTGCGGCTGTACAATGTTGACAGTGGATAGCACCTTTTATTTGGTGTGTGGAAGGTGTGTGGAAGAGGGGGTAGTCTTATACGGCGAGTATATAACAAACTCTATATTTTGAGTGGATATGTTGGGGCGTCGTCTTATATGCCGAGTCGTCTTATACGCCGGCAAATACAGTACTTGTTTCAGAGGATATTTGGCTTTGCACATGTTTTCTTCATTGTCTATCACCACCTATGAAACAGGAGTGCTGAAGCTGAATGAACTAGGATTGTGAAATTCTTCCAGTCCTATCTGCTGTTTTAGTTGAACTCCCGGGATGGAGGTGGGTGGAACCAGGGTGTGCGGTTCCTCTCACTGGTCATGAGCTGCTTCTGATGTATTCCTAAGTCACTGTGTAAAGGATGGCTGCCTGGGTGCATTATAATTGCCAGAGAGAAACAGAATGGTTGAAAGAGCTTTTGTGTATATTTAGATAATATTTGCAGATGAGATCATATTGCAAATATATGCTGGCTACTAGGGCATACTAAGGAATTTCACAATAACATTAGCTTGTGGTTTATACATTACAACAACAAAAAAATTACTTTGTGGATAATGAAACCTATGGATCTTTCTTTTAAAAAATGATAGACCAGAATATTAGACTTTCTTGATGCAAAACCTATATTCTAGACAGAATATGGAGAGCAGAATTGTTTCCTGTTGGCAAAGAGATCAGACATGGGTTTATTTTGTCGGTCTGTCCAGTGCATATGCGTAACATATCAAACAGAATACATTCAGATGATGGAGGAGTAAAAATTGGTGGGGAAAGAATCAAGAATTTAAAATATGCAGATGATGCCTTACTATTGGCACAAAATGAGGATAACTTGAAATGACTGCTAGTGAAGGCAAATGCAAAGATGGGATTACAGTTGAACATTAAGAAGGCAAAACTTGACTAGAATTGGATAACTTTAATATTGACTATGATAAAGTCAACATTTTAAAGGACTTTCTGGACCTTGATTCAGACATCAGACAAAATGGAGACTACAGCCAAGAAAATAGAAGACGATTGGAAGGATAGCTATGAAGGAACTAGAAAATATATATTTTAATTAAGGCCAAGATAATCCATGCTGTGGTATTCTCAGTTATAAATGTGAAAACTGGACAATGAATAAAAAGTGACAGAAAAGCATTCAATTCATTTGAAACCTGATCAATTCAGCTGTTCGGTGTTGCATTGCTGTTCCTCCTCTGGATCAGTCAAGTAAAATCAGTGATGGCAGTTTTTAAGTACAAGTATTTTGAGTGCTTTAAAGTACACGCAGAACATTTTTGAGCACTGTTGAATGGCTTCTGCTCCCCCACAATGTAGAATTGAGAAGCATAGTTAAAGTGGAAATCCAATGTCATTGCATGAAAAGAGAAAGAGAAGGGAAAAAGAAATACTTTAATATCCCTTGTGTTTGCATTGTCTGTGCTTCTAAGTGCTGAGTAGTAACAGCAGCTCTGGTGTTCTTTCACAAAAACACATGCATACTATATACCCTGTGCTTACCTGTTGGTAGCTGCTGCCACACATTAATGTCTGCTTTCATGCTGCAGCCAAAGAATTTTAAATAAAAGCACACACCTTGCCAGCTATTGTTGCTGCCCTGGTCTTCTCCCCTTCTGCTTCTCAAGATTATGGCACAGAGTCGCTCCGCGCTTTCACTGGTGGTTACAGTCTCAGCAGGAAAAGTCCACTAAAACTATTCTAAGCTATTAAAAGTTGTGGCTTAATGTTAAATTAATTGGAACTTAATTAAGTTAACGCATCATGTTAATACTGTTTGAAATTCATTGAGTTAAAAATTAATAGATTGGCCTAATTAGTTAAAATAATTAGTTCATTTCAAGTTTTGCTTTGTCACCAAAATAATTTTCTGTAATGAATGTGAGTCCATCTTCCTATCTTACCATGAACTCTGAGTGCCCACCTATTCTGTCTTCAAATCCAATAATCTGGATTTCAATGTTCTTCTACTTTATAAGAAAGGATTTAAATACTGTTTCCAGGTGTGAGCCCCACTGGCACTAATGGGTTTTTTTTTTTGCTCCATCCCTTGATCCATAGAAAATGACATGGCTGGTTGAAACCGAATGAGGCTTAGTGTAATGGGGAGAAGGGAATTTGCAACTAGACTGTCCTCAGCTATCCCCAGGCTACTTTTAGGTATTGCCGGATTTACTGAGTCCACTCATGGATTTATTCACATAGGACAGAATTTCAAGTTGTGCCTTAAATCTAGTCCTGAGCGTATTAAAATTTCTATCCTGGATCATAGGGTGAATTGAGTCTTTCAAATTTCTTCAAATGAAATCCTGATATGGATTGGAATGTAACTGATGATTTTGAATGTTGTTAGGCCTACTGCAGAATATGTCTTCTATAGGATTAGTGTGCATACGTAAATCTTCCAGTACACAGTTTAATTATTTTGCTCATTTCTTTCTCTTCTCTCCTTTCCCCAGCTTGAGAAGGAGCTGTCAAAAAAGCTTGAAGAGTTGGAAGGTAGCAGCTACGTTTCATAGAACATTCTTATTTATGCCCCATTTCCTTTGCACTGTGGTGACACTTCTTTGTATTTACTGCAGGTGAAATATCGAGCTACCAAGATGAGATTGAGATTGAGTTAGAGAATAGCAGGCCCAAAGCCAAAGGTGTTTACGCAAATTATAGTAAAGATGGTAAGTCTCCTTAAAATCTAATAATTAGTAATGCTTTTTTAAAAATATGATTTTAGAATAGTTCTGCATTTCAGAGACATAAATGATAGATTTAATTCTGTACCGTCAAATCAATTCTGATTTAGGTTGAACTTTTCTAGGGTTTTCTAGTAGAGCGTACTCAGAAGTGATTTACCTTTCCCTTTTTCTTTAGGGCTATACAGCTGGCTCTTCTTTTGGAAAGCACCGAGAGAAATTAAACTCCCAAGTTCTGTCTCTGTAGCAAGATAACTAACTCACTGAGCTATTGAGCAGGCTGTATGTGTGTAAATCATGTTTGAATATAGAGAAAAAGCAGATCTTTTGAGCCAGAAAGGGAAAAAATAGAAATATAAGAATGAATGGGTCTTCAGGTGCTGTCTTCCCTAACCTTGTGCTCTCTAGATTACAAGTTTCCTGATATCTAGCCAGCGTAGCCATTGATCATGCTGTTTCAGAATGGATGGAAGTTGTAATCAGGAACATCTAGAAGACACCAAGTGACACCTTGCTCCTTCAGCCTCAAAGAGCCACATTTTTGCATTATTACTGAAATTAAAAGGGCAAAATCAAGAGATAATTCATAATAACATCAGTCCTCTGTAGAAACCAACATGTATTTGGGGGACTCTGGAGCTCTGTTCACACAATCAGGATGCTTTAATGGAATGAAAGAGAGGTGTGAATTGATTTTTAAGCTGAACAAGACACACCAAGTAGGCATACAGCAGGGAGAGTGCAGAATTATCTACTAGTTTATACATTAGAATTGATGAATGATCATGTTGAGACATTTGGTGCATGTGTTTAAGAAAGTGGATATATTAGACAAATTTGTGCAAAAGTTGTCAGTCTATTCGTGGGATATTAAATAATTTTGGTACATACAATTTAATATCAGTCACCTTGTGATAACATAGTTCATAGTAATAATCATCATCGTCTCAGAATTGCAGAACTGGATCCATGGATCATCAAGTCCAACCTCTGTCAAGGAGGCTCAGTGGGGAATCGATCTTCCAACCTCTGGCTCTGCAGCCAGATACTGATAGGCTTTTACAGACTAACATGACTACTTCTTTGGGGAAAAAAGCAAGCTAGTGTTTTTGGTTCTCTGCTCTTTTGATAGAAGGGTAATCAATAAACTGCTGATAGATATTATATGAGAAGCAGTGCCGTCATGAAGGTTCTTGGGAGTCTCAAGAAGCCCTTTGACAGCATTAAGTACATTTTGGCTGTAACATGCTTGATGAAATTATTTGATCCTTCTGCCTTGAAAGGTTGTGTGGAAGATAATATCTCAAGTATATTTGGAGAAGAGGAGGGTGAAGACGAAGAACTGGAAGCAGCTGCAAATCATTTAAACAAAGACTTTTACAGTGAACTTCTTGATAATGACCAGTCCAAAGAAAAAGAAACTTCTGTAAGGCCCTCGGCTTTGGAATCGCTTCTTGGCCCCCTCCCAACTGCAGCCAGTCTTGGGATAACGGAATCTATAAAAGAATGCATCCTGACAAAAGATCGAGATCATAGTAAGTATCAAATGAGTTAGACATTTGCATTGAGTTGTGAAACATGGAAAAGCTATCATCATTTACTGTGGAATTTTACCTGTTTGCCAAAGAAGCATTGAGAGGTGATAGTGGGAAAACTATGTACACCAGTTTAAAGGTCTCATGTCCTGGGAGTTTCAAAACCGAGTGAGAGAACTCGTAGCAGCTACATAGGGGTGCTATGCTTAAATCTGGGTTGGGAAACCTTTAGCTCTCCTAATAATTTGAACTACAATTCCTACAATCCTTTAGCATTAGCCATAAGGGGAAGCTGCTGATGGGAATTGCAGGGCACAAAGATTTATTGACAAAGATTCATTGTCCTGACCTAAATGCTGTGTTAGTTTCATAAAATGTACATTAAGTGTAGACAATCCTTCCCATGGTGCATATTTTTGCATTTCTTGAAAACAGATTTAGAACTGACAATTTGCATCCTAACATATGTTCATAGAATGAACAAGAATGCCTTTAATTTTTTTTTAATTATTATTTTTTTTTTGCTGTACTGGGGAACTATTAAAGTCTAGGCTGAGGGGATTTAGACTAAACATTCAATATGGAATGTGTTTTCATATAGATATCATTTGCACTCTGAGGTTTCATGAATAACGGGGTGAATGATTTTGAAATATTTGTAGCTCCCATTATGTGTTGGGCTTAGTTTGTTCTCAAGTGATGCCTGTTTGTCAGTACATTTGCCCATTTGCACTCTGAAGATCCATACTTTCTCAGAAGTTGTCTGCACTTCATTATACCTTTGACCTGTCTTAAGTACTCCCATTGAAATGCCTTTTTGAAGGCTTTCTAAAAGCATTTGATTGGGTGTGGTAAAAAAAATAGGATTTTGAGCAATGTGGAGTCTTGGTTAGATCCAGATCTTCTTAGATTCTTACAGCTGGATGGGAACTTTGTAGCCCCCACGACTGCTGTAAAGATTCCCAGACCTTTTGCGGCGGAGGGGGGATGATGATTTCACCTAAAACAGTATTTTTGGAGTCTTTCGCTCTCTGTCTCTTTCTTTCTGTCTCTAAAAGAGAGAATTGAGCCTCTAAGTAGCATGATTCACCTCTAAAAAGTTGCTGAGCATAGTATGTTGCAAGAGAGTAAGCCCACTGAATCAGTCAAAATTTGCCAAGTCAATTCATTTGTAAGTTCCACTGATTCAAATGGATCTGCTCTAGTTGCGACTTTAGCATAGTAAGTCACAAAACTAGAGTAGGCCCATTTGAATCAGTGGAAAGAAACTGACTTGCTAAATCCTCATTGATTCAGTGGACCTGCTCCAGTGCAGTTAACTATACTAAGCAATAGGATGTCAGCAAATGAGTGGATTTCCCTAATCCTTAAGCATGTGCACAGACATACAGTCTCTCTTACACACGTGCAGTTCTTTTAAAGGACATATTCCAAAAGTTTTCTTTGTGGGGAACTGATGCAGTTTGGAGCCAGCAGAAACAGACACCAAACATTCAGAACTTGCCCAGCTGGCTCTTTAAGGATATCTACCATGAAAGAACTTGAAGATATTTTGTACTGTGACATCCAGAATCTCAGTTTGCATGGCTTGGAGATTATAGGGCTGAATTAAAAAAAAAGGTGACTTTTCAAAGCTTTGATGTAATTTGATCAAAAATGTTAGTAGAGTGGTAGATTTCAGAGGCAAAAAGCATGAGGGCTGCATATTTGGCATTAGTAATACCAAATAAATATTAAGAATAGTGGCCAGTTTTTATACCACACAAGTTATATACTTTAGGAAGATGGCAAGGATGTTTAGATCATTGCAGTACTTTCATTTCTGGTTTACTTAAGGAAGTTCACATTAAAATTAAAAAAAAATTGCATTTTTTCTCAAAGTAAGTCATGCACTTTCCTTGGTCCCTTGCGATCCCTTCTTTGCTCCTATATAAGCATGCATTTTTATATTCCTTAGCACCACTTGTCAAAATATTTTAACATGAGACTTCTTACCATGTGGCTGACCAAACGAAACCCCCTGAAAATGTGTAAATTGCTTTCCATTTGTTCATAATGTATCTACCATGTACCATATCATGTTGAAAAGGTTCCTCTAGCCAAAGATGCTAAATCTCAGTCAAAGCAAGCCTTTCGAATCAGACCTTGTATGTACAGCCCATAAATTTGACGATCTTTATAGTCGGTTGTATCTGTGATTGAGTTTTCATTAAGTCATTAATGAGCTGTGAAAATCTTGTTCCAGCCACCATAATACTAGTGAAACTTTTCTTCCACTTCCCTCATTTCCATCTTCTCCATGTACGGTTTCAAATATCCACCACCTTTGCTACAAATACAACTGATGTGATGTTGTTGATTAAGAAATGTGTAGCTTGCACTGTAAAACATATGCTCTTATACATGCCCTTTTGAATAACAAAAGGCTCAGGTTGAAGACAATGATGTGTGGGTGTCTTTTTTAGTGAAGACGTGTGAATTTGAATCAGTTGTACAGGCTAATTAAATATATGCAGTTCTTTGACGTTTCTATTAAATGGCTGAAACTAGAGCATGAAAAATGTTGGTCTACAACTGCCAGCTCTGGCTAGGAGACTCTGTGTGCTGTAGTTTTAAAAAATTCATTTTCCAGGCTCTGGCTGAGAATGATTTTTGATGCAAAGTATGCAACCTTTAAGAACCTAAAGGTGACTTTGTAGATTTATTATAAAAAGCAGAGAAGAAGTTGACTTGCTTCCTGTTTCATGTATGAAAAGGTCCCTTCAATTGGATATAGATGGACAATCTGGGTAGTGGTAGTAACTGTGTAGGTGCTGCTCAGTTGAATGAAGCGAAGATTGTTTCTTCTCTTGGACCCATGACAATTAGATAGCTGCTTACCTAGGGGTATTTGTTTTTTCTCAGGTCATAACCCCATGCTTTAAAATCAGCATAGAAGGTCCTGCTACAGTGCTGCCATTATCATGTTCACCTGGCAGTGGAGTGTAGTGGTTTGAGTATCATGAGAGGACTGGATTCAAATCTCTATTAAGCCATTAAACTGGGTGCTTGAGGGCAATCACAATCTCTCAAGTCTAACCTACCTTACAGGATAGTTGTGAGGCTTAAATGTCAGGGCACTGGGGTCTAAATTTAATAGATAGCAGCAGCCTGTTGGCAAGTAGGACTCCAGCTTTTTTGCTTATGGCTTCCGTCACCCGAAACGCACTCTCTGGTCAGGACCCTCTAGCTGTTTCAAAGTTCAGTTCTAGGAGTCTGTAAAAGGCATGCTATTTAGAATGATTTCTCCCTTGTGCAGCAGGAAATTGAATTCAGTGTGGGTTTATGCCTTTTTGTATATTTTGAGTTTATTTTTAAATATTGCATTGAGTATATTTTGTATGTTTTGTGTTGTATCTTATGTTTTACACGCTGCTGTGAATATGTTACTAGCAAGCAGATAGAATTGTGGCTCACTAATGTGCTGTACAAAACTGATACAGTCTTATATAACTATTGTCCCCCCCCCCCCGTCACCCAAAAAGCAGTTTGGGTTTGTCAAACTAGTAACTTCACATATGTTAAACAGAGGCGGTGTGCAGTTTTGACAACCTAACTTGTGTTTCTCTCTGTTTTGACAGGGGTCTTTTACTGTATAACATGGCTGATGATATCATTAATCAACTTGATAGTTTGCATCTACTTTTACTATTTTTGAACACAATGTTGTTGTGTCAATAACAATTGTTTTCTATCAAAGTTTTTCTCTTCATAGACTCTCATTCAGTGGTGTAGTGGAAGCAGAGCTCTCAGGATAGAAAATCTGGGGCCTTCTGATTAGCAGAGACTTAGAAATCATCCCCTACTTAGTTTTCCCTGTTCCCTCTGCACTTGAGCTTCAGTCCTCATAGTAGCTGGAAGAAAAAGAGATTTTTTTCTAGGAACCATGTATTTTTCATTATATATTGTTCCATGATATTGAAATACGAAGTATTTGTGGATGTGTTGGTCTTGAATAGACAGTTAAGAACCATTAGCTTTATAAAAGACAGGCTCCTAGTAGAAATTAAAACTGCTGGAACTCATTTATTGATGTGAATTCATCCAGCTACCTGTATTTTTGGACTCGTTTTTCCTCATATTCCTTGGGAAGGGAATAGCTATGGTATCAAGCTATTGTGTCAAGATGAATACCTGTACTTCTAAGTGTACTATTATGACACTGCTTTTTATACAGAAGAAACTTGCATACTAACTACCAAACTGAGGATCATTTCTTCTCTTCTTCTTGTAGTTACTTTTTGATTTACTGTCCCCAGAACCTCCTAGCTGACATAATAAGTGGCCAGTGGCCGGAGGATTGGAAAAGGTCAGTCTACATCCCAGTTCTTGTAGTTATTTTTTGAATTACTGTCCCCAGAACCTCCTAGTTGACATAAAAGCCGCTCAAAGTGGTCGATTTTAACCAGATGAGCGGGGTATAAATCAAATAA